TTGTTCTACTGCAAGTCGAGCTATCTGAGGCTTTTCTAAGCGAGTACCACTATATATATATATATATATATATATATATATACACACACATATATATATATATATATATACAATTAAAAACGACAGGCATATTGTTCCGATTAATTTTAATGATTGACTTTTCCAAATTACGAATAATTCTACTCAGACAAGGAGGAATTTCTGTCAGAAATTGTCTGAAATTCATTTTAGAAGAAAAGTACATCATCAAGGTAGGTAGAGACAGTTGACAGTGCAGGTAGAAAAAACTGAAAAATTTACTAAGGTGAGATTCAACCCGGGTCTCATGGTTGGAAAGCATATATATATATATATATATATGTGGGTGTGGGGGCATTGAAGTCAATATTCAGAAGCAACAGTCTGTTTCATGTTAAACGCAATCGTTGGTGACACGATTGTGTTTAGCATGAGACAAAACCGCCGTCTCTTGGTGTTCACTTCAATGTCCACATTTATATTTACATACTCTCTATTCCTGATATTGAGCACTTTAACCTATACATATAACATACCTTAAAACTATATTCTAACATTATATATATATAGTGCTAATTTGTAAAACTGTTTTTGAAGCAAAAATTCTTGGTTTTTCAGTGTTTTACTGAGAAAGGCATTTAAGGCAAGCAGGCTTTGTGGTAGAGTGCTCAATATCTAAGATAGGGATAGAGCATTAATAATTAATAGAATTAATTAATATATATATATATATATATATATATATATATATATATATATATATATATATATATATATATATACACGTATTAACATATGCTATGCGGGCTAAAATTAGGGAAATACAAAACAGAAACGCGAGCTATAATTATACAGATATAGGAATACTGAAACTTAAAAATTTATCGTTATAGATTCGTCCACAAACACACACACACACATATATATATATATATATATATATATATATATATATATGTATAAGATTGGTGTATACGGAATAAATTCCAATAACCAAAAATACTATTCTTAAAAAAAGTGCTTAATACAGAGTAGAGCAAATATAATTTATTCGAAAATTATAGCATAAATATGTTATAAAATCACTTGATTTTATAACATATGTATGTTATAATTTTCGGATAAATCATATATATATATATATATATATATATATTAGGCCTTATACATATAGTATATATCTCTTATGTATATGAGAATCCACCACTAGCACCACCATTAAGTTTAATATTGCAGTATAATTAAGTTATGATATGTATAATTAATTTATGACATGTACAATTCCTGGTCGTCGACGACGTCTCGTAAAACATTAGTTCAATCTTAAGTATTTAATTTTGCAGAAGACTTGATGCGTAGAATAAAAGAAGTTGCAGCTTCTCCAGAGCAAGGTTCGATGACATTGCAGAATGCAACAGACACTTGAGGAAGACCAAAGTATACACAGTTGAAACGTCGTAAAAATTCCAAACGACAAAAATCAACGAATGTAGCCCAGACCAATGAGTGATCTGTTTAAGCTTTAAATGATGACCAATCAAAAAGATTCTTCTATTTTTACCCTTTTACCCACTTTCGTTCTTTTGTTCATTTTCTAAACATTTTTGCAGGTTTTTTCGTTTTGTTTCGTAAGTGTATGAAAAGCGCATGAACAACTCACGGATGATATTTAATTAGTTATGTCCAACCACTTGAACCAGAATAAAATTTACAATTTAATCAAACGACGCTGCCATAATTAGTCGAAACCTTCCGGATATCGAGGAATCCAAGAAAAACCGATTTTTAATTTCGCCAAATTGACGAATCATTAATTCGTTAAAATTGGCAAAACTTAGTAAGGCCGAAAATAATTGCAAGCCACATTCTCTCACTCTTTCTTTCTTTCTTTTTTTCTTTCTTTTTCTCTCAATTGAATGAAACGGGGAGAGAGAATGAGAGAGTGAAATTGAGAGCAAGAGAAAGAAAGAAAGAAAGAAAGAAAGAAAGCAAGAGAGAAAGAGAGAGAGAAAAAATTAGAGAAAAAGTAAACGAGGAAGAAAGAAAGAGAAATTTTTTTCTCTCTCTCTCTCTCTCTCTCTCTATATATATATATATATATATATATATATATATATATATATATATATATTCTTTTATAGATTCTTTTTTCTTTCACTTTCTCCTCTCATACATAACCACGCTTAAATTATCAACGACGAGACAATTCTCAGCCCCCACACCTTCGCATTATATCTCTTTTCCAGTATTGATCACAGTAGATCGTTGCTTCTTTTCTCTCTATTACAATTTCTTCATTAACGAGGTGTTGTCACGCCTGGCACAAGGCCACAACCTACTGCAGTGCATGCTCTCAGTTTATAAGCAGTCCTTATCGAGATACTGACAATATTCAACGCTATATACTTGATTAGACACGCGCTAGTGTTTTCTACCTGGCGCTTTTTTTTAATGCTAATTAATTTCACAGACGATCCCTGTCACTTCCTCTCTTCTCTCTCTGATATATATATATTTAACGTTTAAGTAATAAAATCTGTCGGATTATTAAGTAAAAACAATTCCTTTAGAAAAATATATAGCAAAATTGTCCAATTATTAGATTAAGCACTGAACCGTTGTATATTAGAAATGATTAATCACATCTTACCGAGCTTTGTATAACACTACTAGACATTAAAATGTATTACTAGTCTCCAAGCTTAACAGAAGAATCGTGGTGAATTTTCATAATTAATTAATCATAGCTAAGGATCGGAAGCTCATGAAGTATTGAAATAAAGTTCAAATATATATATATATATATATATATATATTATTCCGGGGTCATGTTCCAACTTATTCACGATAATGTTCGCCCTCTCTAAACTTCTAACTTTCCATCCTGGAGTAATAAGTTACCTCGCAGGTTTCACGTACGATTTCATTTTCAAGTCTTTTTTCACTGCTTTTTGGACTGGCATAGCTGAAACTCATCTCTCACGTGCCAAATATCTTATGAATTGAGTTGGATCTTTTCTAATTGATCTTTTTATCTGTAAGTTGAAATGATGACCTCTCTTCCTCTTGTGACCTCCTGATCCAGTTTTCCTCCCCATTGCTCTCTCTTTTTTAAACTTTTTTACAACTTTGATGGTTCTTGAATGGACTTTGAAGATGGAAACCAGAGTATTAATGTTGGCACCATTACTGAAGGACTGAATGATCTTTTTCCTCTCACAATTGCTCAATTGGAAAGAGAGTTTTAACCTGCTCTATTTTAGCTGAATAACTCAAAGATGGTTCCAAAGGTGAGAACTGCGAGAAAAGGAACTATTAGAATATAATATCTATCGGTTTCATCCAGTAATTTCAACAGTAAAATTATGAGACCTAGCTGCCAATCTAGTACTGCTCTTAAATTCTTGAAGTTACGGTGTGAAAGAGGAATGCCCATCAGGGAATTTGCCATGCCATTTATAGAAAAGACACGGCGACGGTACCTCACGTTGGTAGGAAAGTGATTGCATTCGGAAATGCCGGGTCAGGACCAGTAACATCGAAGGGTTCCGGTTTGGATTTTGTCAAGCATCTCTCGAGAGATCGCAGAAGTGCCAGGGGCACATGGACGTGATATAATGCTTTGCAAACCTGTCTGGCTAGACTGAATAGTGAGTTTGATCCTTACTGGGTGCCACATACTTTCAGCCTTGCGCCACATCTAAGGATGCTAAATTCAAGATTCCTGTCTTTCGACCAGGCGAGGGGGTCGATTCCTGGCATGGGAACATTCTCTTTGAGAGGATGATGATGATGATCCCGATGCTCGCCTACGCCTAGAAAATCACCATAGCCGAAGCACCAGATCAGATGTGGCAATAATATTCAATGCACGGTCGAATGGTAGACTTTAAAAAGTGTAAAATAGATTATGATAAGAAAAATTGTCTAGCACGCCACTGTGAACCAAATTTCCTAGCAGCAGACCTCGAAATTAACTCGATATAATAATTCAGTAGAAAACGTTAGACTGAGAAAATGCAGTGAATTACTTTCTTTGAGGTTAACATCACCATTCATATAGATGAAAAAGGTTTTCTAAAACTCTCGTATAGGAAGAAAATGGTAGCTGCCGACACCGAATTTCGAGCGTGACACTGTGGTTTTATGAATAGGTTTTCCACCAGGTGTATAAATAGAGACATCAGGCTACTGACGGTAGTTACTTACCAGTTAATTACGGTTGACTATTCGTTGAACATCAGTCGATGATTGGTGGCCTACGGGTTGACTATTAGTCGGACTGCAGTCGATGATCATTTGAGTACGACTGTTGATTACTAGTGGATTATTGAGTGACTATTGGACGTTAAGCAGAGCCGCGCTACTAAGAAGATAATTACTGAATTGTTAATAAGTTTAGATTGACTTACTTCTTTTGTTTGTGTTACGTATTTATTCGCAGTTGTAATTAAATACTGTTTTATTCAACATGGAAGTCTTGAGTTGTACTTTATCATTAACGGCTCCATTACGGGTCAGAAAAAAAACACAAAGAAACCATCTTGTTTGTTTGTTTGTTTTTTTTTATTTGGGCGGGAGCGCGTTAAAATTAAGAAGCCATTTCTTGCCCCAGTTAACAACAGGTTGAGGTTCATATTGAAACATTAGTTTATCGATTGTTTGAAAGTGTACGATGTCTGTACAGAAACGATATACCCATGCAAACTTAATAAAAATTGCCGCAATGAGCAATGGTAATGGCGATTGCTCCTCACCAAACTACTAAACTTGTAACTTCACACATTTATCGTGACTTTCACATCTTAATAAAAAGAAATGGTAATAAATTCCCTCTTTCGGTTTTATAGAATTCTTAATAATCTCGTTCACGGTGAGAAATTATTCTTTTCAACATCGATTTTTAATTTGAGATAAACCAGAAGTTCCAAAGATGTAAATATGGTCTATAGTGAGGTCAAGAGACCAGGAAGATTCGATACATAATACAGATAAATGGATAGATATGAAGAGAAGCGAAATTTATAGATACATCTGAACAAATAAAAACTATATAAACAAATGGAGATAGATAGATAGATAGATAGATAGATAGATAGATAGATAGATGTTTCTTTCTGTGTGTTATGTCTTGCCTAACTCTCTGCGTCGTAGTAGTCGTAGTATAGTTCTCCGCGTCCTGAATAGCAACCAGGTTTACTAGGTGTAGATTTTCCCTATGTTCGCCAGTTGTTCTCTATTTATACTTGTCTATCTAATTTGCTTACGATACTACACTATGGTTGCTTGATTTTGTTTAACAGGTACATCAACTTCCATGGGTTATTTAATGCCAAAATCTAAATATTTTGAACACAATGTAATGGCTTCAACCAAATATATTTTGAACACAATTGCATGCTTTCAACTAGAGATAAAATATATTGTTGGTCATTTTGCTATAAAATGTATTATTGCTAATTCTACTCTAAATAGGTATTGTTGGTTAATTTACTATAAAAACGTATTTTTATACATTTATAATGTTTTGGTTTTGTTTGGCGCTTCATTATTTTCCCTTAGTTGAGACCCTCACAGGTGCTACCCCGAGTCAGGGTGGACCTGGGAACAACAAAATTAAGAGGTGGTTTCACGCTCCTCAAAACACACACACACACACACACATATATATATATATATATATATATATATATATATATATATATTAATAATGGATATCGTCAAGGGATTAATCTTCTATGAATATAAACATGCTTTCCAAAAAATATGTTGAGAGTATTGTCAAAGATATTTGAAACAAAATGGCTATTTTGTAGTGATTTTATAACATGTTTATGTTATAAATTTTAAATAAATAATTATACATATATATATATATATATATATATATATATATATATATATATATATATATATATATGGTGGACTCTCCTGTCGTGAACGATAAATGAGGGTCAGCATTGGATGGTGCCTTTCGTTTTACACTTATGCATGCTAGTAGGGGCTACTGTGGAAAAAATCAGATAAAAGAAAAGACATTTAGTTTGTGCTTTCTTGTTGCTGCGGGCGACAAGGCTACATTGACAGAGGAAATTCCTTAACGCAGGATTTTGATGGCGTCTCTGCTTCAGAGTTTAACGAAGCTGATCACGGTGCTTCAGTCTACTGTCTTTAAAACCCTTTAACGTAATGAAACATGTCTTACGCCAATCCTTTCGGTTTCACGTTTGAGCTTCCCAGGTTTTCTGATCAAAGTTGAGACGTTTCAAGTTGTCTTTCAATTTGTCTTTGTAGCGTAAGAGTGGACGTCCAGCTGAACGCTTGGAGTTTGGTAGTTTTATATATATATATATATATATATATATATATATGTGTGTGTGTGTGTGTGTGTGTGTGTGTGTGACCAGCCAGCTGAAAAGTACTAATTAGATCTTATGATTTACAGATCATATTTAACAGTTTGATACGATTCATAATGTTGTGGTAGGATCCACCTAATTTGCATAATGGAGTACCGACCATATAAATATGGTTGGTACCGGGAAGAGAGGAAGGAATCAAGAGATTCAACCAGAGACTCTGCCCGACTGCGACTCAGTCAACACATTCTCCAGGAACGGTCTTACCAGGAATATACAAAAGACTATATGTAAATATTGTGTACACTTTCTTGTTTCAATACATTTTGTTCAAAGTACCTTTTGTGTTGCATTATTATTCCATGCATTAGTCAAGTTTCAACACATAATATCACTGCAAAGCATGCAGAATGGGGAAGCCTATGTTTACAATCAGTGCTGTGGTCACTCGGTACACAAGCTCACTCAGCAGCGTCTCAAGTGAGTGAATAAACCAATGGGAGAGTATCTATTCAGACATGCGCAGTGAAGCCCCCTCTGCTCGGTAGCTGCGCAAATAATGGTTGTTGAGATATTTAAAATGGTAATATATTTCCTGGCCACGACCTTTGTGCATATAATGATTAGCGCGAATGAAAGACTTAGCGTGTTTGTTTAATTCCATAGTCACAGGCTACATAACTAGACACCAACATCAAATACATGAAGTTAGATGAGCGATATAATCTCTGCCGTCTCGTTTTTACGGGAAATAATCACTTTTGGAAACGAACATTGACAAAGTGCAGTCGACTCTCCGATTTCAAGAATAATTCGCTGCATCGTTGAATGTGAGAGGATTCCTCACTGCGCGTTTATTTATTCATCTTCGTGTCGCGTATCTCTTCAAATGAGACAAATTGATTTTGAAGCTTCACTTATACGGAACTTTCGTTCTTAAGAGAATTGTTTCTGTCAATAATTCATATACTGCAACTTGCATACGCCTTTGACACTCTAATTACCACCACTGGAGATCTCAAAGGGTATGTTTAGAAATGCAAAAGATAACCATCAATATATGTTAGCCGAAAATATAAGAAAAAAAAAAAAGAAAAAGAGAAATGTACAAACGCTTTGTTAATAGCATTTCTGTCTATTTCACCTGCTAGCGGTTCTCTATTTTTCTTTTTAATTATATCACGCCATGCAAGGTAATAGAGCCACTAAGACGCAAAATTTAAGTGTAATGTCAATCGTTGCCTTCTGTCTCGCTCCTCGATAATCTTTCTCTTTTTTCTTATTCGCTTGTTTGTTTTGTTTTATTTTACGGCATATCAACCTCAATGGGTCATTTAATACGGCAACTTGTTTTTCCTGATAATATTTTTTTTTGTTTTTCCTGATAATATTTTTTTTTGTTTTTCCTGAAAATATTTTTTTTTCTTTTTCCTGATAATATTTTTTTTTTGTTTTTCCTGATAATATTTTTTTTTTTTTTCCTGATAATATTTTTTTTTTTTTTTCCTGATAAAATTTTTTTTTTTTTTTCCTGATAATATTTTTGTTTTGTCAAATAATTATTTTCTGGTAATATTTTTTTTCCTCAAAATTGTATAGCTGGTAATATTATTTTCAAAACCGTATTGCTGGTAATAGTTTTTTTTCCTTCAAAAAATTATTTCTGGTAATAATTTTTTACAAAGTATTTCTGGTATCAATTCCTATTTTTACACTTTCATAATGCTTTTTACCTCAGTTTCGGGGTTAACTATTTGCCCATAGCTGGGACCCTAACAGGTGCTACCATCCCGGGTCAGGGTGGACCTGGTAAAACCAGCAATAAAGAGGTGATTCCACACTCCTCAAAGCCTCCTGATTAGAGGTCTTGATGTCGGATGTAGTTTATCGTCTTACCCAGGACACGGATGTAGTTTATCGTCATACCCAGGACGATTTCTTATTCGTGAAACAATAAGAAAAATAGAATAGGAAGAAAAGAGAGAATAGTAGAAGAGGAATCATGTAGACAGTAGATGAGTGAATGTTAAAGAATAAGGGAAAAAATATTATTAAAGTGAGACATCAATAAAAGAATAAGAATTAAGAAGATAGAAGGTAACGATTGACATGGCACTTAAATTTTTGAGGATCAATCTTGACTAAAAAGCAAAAAGCTGGAAGAGAGTTCCACAATCGAGAAGATTAAGAGAAGATACTTACTGTTATATCTAGCCAATTCAACTGATGGGACCTTGCCGCCAATCTAGTACTGCGCTTAAATTCAGAAAATCTACATACCATAGTCAAGAATTTGTCCGAAGAATTACCATGAAATCATTTATAGAAAAGTGTTGTAACTGAGTTATCAAAAACATTTCTTTTCTTCTTATGTGCCGTATTCTTTCAGGATGTAGGCGATCATGGCTCTCCACTTTCTCCATTCCTTGTGGCTCTCAATAAGTTTCGTCCTTCTGCCAACTCCCCCAGAACAGCTTCTGCAATCCATACCCATCAGGTATATCATGCATTGCTTTCCCTTGTCTCTTTTCCTCTCTATTCGACCTCTGACTATCAGATTCTTCAGGCCCTCTTTTCTCATTACGTGTCCCAGAAATTTCATCTGCCTCTTCCTGTTGTTAAGTATAAGCTTCCTCTTTGTTTGCATCCTCTACAAAACCTCATCGTTGTTCACACGCTCGGTCCATGATATCCTTAGCATCCTTCTGTAGAACCACATCTCCGTTGCCTCGAGTCTCCTCTTCATCTTTCAGGGAACCGTCCAAAATTCGCTGCCGTAAAGGAGGACAGATATCACGTAGCAGCTCAGTACTCTTTTCTTTGTGAAAATCCTCCTATTTTGCAGTACTCTGTGGAGTTTTTGGAATGCACCTATCGTCTTCCGTCAAAACACTTTCCCGATGTTTAAACTTCTGCACATGCGTGAGTTTAGTGTCTCCAATCTGGAAATCGCATTTCGGGCTTATTCTTTTACTGAAGACCATGCATTCTGTCTTCTTGTAGTTCAGGGTTAGTCCCTTCTTCTCGCTCTCCCTCGCTACTTTCTGTAGGAGCTTTTGTCGTTTCTTTTCCGTGTCTGCTCTCAGTACTGTGTCGTCATGGAACCGGAATTGGTTTAGCAAGTTTATTACCTTTTGGTACAGGGAAACATAATATAGAATAGAAACTAGGGAAGAAAATGCTTAGCCGTGAATGTGTAACTATATTTAGTCAAAGCTACTGCTGCTACTGCTACTCCTCTTGATGTAGGAGTATTTTTATGTCTTTCTGTTATACCGGAACATACCTATTCTGTTGTTAATAGACTCTCCCACATATAATTGGTAGTAGTAGTAGCAGTCGCCAGGGAGCTCAGAGACATTAAAGTATCAACCACTACAACTAGATTGCTGCGTCATTAACTATTATTTCAAGTTCCTAACTTTTTGTACGTCGAAACCTTTTAGGACCGACTTAGTGAAATACAAGCCTCCACTGTGAAAACTAGTTTACAACACATTGGCGACGAGGGATTCGTTCTCATACGGAGGAAGAAAAATTTTTCGTTTACTCTACAACACTTTCGTCCGACGGCCGAGTCCAAATTTGTAGGGGAATATTCTCCCTCGCAACAAAAAGGTACAAGGAAGCTACATTACGGCAATGAGAAAGTGACTGTAGACTATGTCGACATCAGTAATATGTCGCCCATTGTTTTCCAAGAATGCAGGATGTAAGTTTAAATCTTGTACGAAGCCACTTCTTTTTTTTTTATCGATGCTACTTATGAAGCAGCCGTGGAAGTTTTTTTAACAATTACCAAAGGGTTGCAATAAAAACACAAGAATAAGAAATGTGAGCTTGTTTAAAATTAATAAGAAAAATGCTTCATCTAACAAATACAGACAATTGAGGACTATTATATCAACTACTATAAGGCATTTAAAAAAAAATATAGCGTGGAGAAAATCCAATAAAAAAAAATGTACTGATATGAATGAATAAAAAAAAATCATTTATTAATACATCACCATACTGTACTCGACAAGTCGTTTATCAATCAGCCGAACTCCCAAGATGCGAGTTCAAATCTTTTCGAAGGTTACTTTTTTATTCTATTCATCTTACCGCCTGCAAACGAATAAAAAAATAAATTGAATAGCCATACTAAAATGGAAAGGGGCATGAGATAAGGGTACACCTTCTCTCCACATGTATTCAACCTCTACAGTGACACTATCCTAAGGGAACTGAAGACCCTACTTACTACAGGTGGGCGTAATTTTAACAATAATAGATATTGGTCAACTTTAAAAAGAGTCTATAGGACCTCCTAGACAAATTATTGGAAGAAAGCGAGAAAAAAGGACTAACCCTCAACTGTAAGAAGTGCGGTTATTAGCAAGAGAAGAAGCCCAAGATGCTAGTTGGGAATTGGGGATATAAACGTCAATCGGGTGCAGAAGCGTTTGTACCAGTGGATGGAAAATGCGGCACCGAGATCCGAACACGCAATGGACTAGCGAAAGATGCATTTTAAAAGCTATATAAGATGCTGAAAATGGAAAAATATCGTTCGAAACAAAGAAAAGATTGCTTGATTGCTATGTGATCTCTATCCTCGTATTTGGCAGTGAATACTGGATTATTTCCCCACTGTTATGGCGTCCGCCCTCTAATGAGGCTATTGTGGACTCTTCCACTTGCTATAAAGTTAGTAGGAAAAGTAGGCCTCGGGGATACAGTGATATAGACTGTTCTACCGAGGCTGTGATTGTTGGCAGCTTCTGTCAAACTGTTTTGGGCAGAGAGGAACCCCGGACGCGGCTGTGCCGAAGGGCAGAGTCTCGCCCAGGGAGATAGATAGAACCGAACCCGTTTATGCGGGTTCTACGGGGATTTTTTTGGCCGAGCCTACGGCCTCGGATGACTTACGTTAAACTCGGCCTTATGCCACATTTATCTTCGTGGGGGCGTGGGGCTAGTAAATATCAACAGTGATATAGACTGAACGCTGGTCAACCGACACACACTCCCAAGTCGTGAAACACACTTCTGTAGTATTTACTGTTCAATACACTATTTATCTGCAACCTCTTGTTTTGTTATTTCTTAACCATATACTTGGTCGCAGCACCCACACAGAAGGAAAAAACTAGAGTCAGCAGAAATGTAGTTCTACAGAAGGATACTGAGATTTCCATGGACGGAACGAGTAAGAAATAAGGAAGACTTAAAGAAAATGGCAACAGAAATAACACCTTTACCCAGAATCAGGAAAATACAGTTTTGACATATAATGAGGAAAGAAGGCTTGGAAAATTTAACCCTCTCGGGGTATACTAACGGAAAGAGAGATAGGGGAGGGCAGTGAGCCACTTATTTGACGAGTTTGTGTGAACGGATGGTGAAACGGGGAACGAGGAGCTTACCAAAGGGAGAAAAACTGCTAAGAGCCACACGCGACCGGAAATTGTGGAGAGCCATAATCGATTATGGCCTGAAGAGTGCAGTACATAGAAGAAGAATGGTCATAGAATGTAACAATAGAAAAAGTACTGGCTATTGCGATAAATAAAAGAAAAAGAAAATGAAATAATAAAAAAATTGTATCATTAATGAAAATGCGAGATTAAGAATAACTTAGGTTATTGCCTGGTCGTTAAAACATTCAGCACCAAACCTTTTTTTATGTTGTCATGTGAAGGCCAAGATATCCCAGGGGGTAAATAGAGCTTTCGGAAAGAACGTATAAGGCATCTCATGCGGAGAGGACAACATGATGACAAAGCGCGATTATCAAGATAGGGAGAGTACGTTATTAATGTCGTTTAGTGCTAAACCATAAAAATATTAATTAAAGTCTTTTGACGCCTGTGTTAATAAGCATTAAACAGTATAATTAAGTTTAGAAGGAAAATATTCAATATTTATATTAAAATAATGTTTTATTTCAAGGATTGCGAAACATATTTTGGGATTTTATGCGTAAATGCATTTTCAGTCGAAAACAACGCGCGATTACAAAAGATATTTTCATTTTATTGCATTTATAGGTTGGTAGGTCGGTAGATAGATAGATAGCGCGCGCGAGAGAGAGAGAGAGAGAGAGATTCTGAGATAAATTTATATGAACAAACATTTCTATAGATATATAAAAACACCCAAAATAATGAGAAATGGAGGTAAATAGATAGATAATGAACAGACTTAGATAGGTATAAAAAAAAGATGCATATATATATATATATATATATATATATATATATATATATATATATATATGGGGATAAAGTGCTCAATATCAAAGATAGAACGTGTGTAAATATAAAAGTGAAGATTGAAGTCAAAATTGAAGCGATAGGCAGTTTCATGTTAAATGCAATCCTCAGGCGGCCTGATAATTGCGTCTAACATGAAACAGCCTATCGCTTCAGATTTGACTTCAATCTTCACTTTTAGATAGATAGCTAGATTTAAAACAGATTGACATATAAACAGATAGATAGATAGATTTAAAACAGATTAACATATGAACAGATAGATAGATAGATAGATAGATAGATAGATAGATACAAGATTCTTTCTATCAATTGCAACGTAAGCCTTTCTGTCACGTACATTTTTTTTTCTATAAACAAATTAAAGCAAGTCGAGAAAAAATATTTGGAGTGGACATCAAGTGTAGTACGGTATTTAAGATGCATTAAAAATATCTTCATCCATATTCTTACACAGACATACACACATGCATTGATATATATATATATATATATATATATATATATATATATATATATATATATATATATATATATATACGTTATGTATGTGCGTGTGATCAGTCTTTGAAAAGAACTAATTTGATCTTGCGATTTACAAATCATTTTTGTCAGCTTTTTAAAACATTTTCTCGAGACATTTGACGTTCGTTTTTGCTTAAGCCCTGGGAAGTCTGAAGAATCCCTGCAAATGTGAACAATTCACAGAAGAGAAGTGAAGTGAGTGGGCAGCAAAGTAATCAGTCCCGCCTTTGATGTCACAAACCGAACGGAAATAGCAGATTCGATGGTCGTCTGTTTTAATGTATCATTTGACAACTGAGAAATTTTTCCCAGCTACATCTTGCCACTTATGGAGAACGAATTCCTTGAAATCCCCACCACCCCGAAAATCACCTTCATAAAAATGAATAGTAATTAAAAAAAAAAAAAAAAAAAAACGATAATATATTGGACGAGAAAATGTCGAACTTCATTTATAATGAACACTATAAAAATGTTAAACTTGATTTAACAAATACAAAAATATTAAATAGGATCTAATAAGAAAATAAAAATATTAAATACGACTTAATAATATTATTAAGATTTTAATAAATATTATTAAATTAAATATAATTAAATAATAAATATTATTCTGTAAAGATTATAAAAAAATATTTAATTTGATTTGATATGTATAAAAAATATTAAATTTGATTTTTTTAATCGGTACCATCCCAAGCAAAGCAGTAAAAACACTAAAACGCAAGGTGTTATACGCTGTGGAAGAATTAAGAACAGGAAAATTAATGAGCGTGGAGAGAAAAGAGTAATTACAAGGACAGTAGATAGCGAATGAAATTGCATTTAAATTTTGGCAGATTAAAGTTTGCTGGAAAGCATGGAACCGAAAGGGAGTTCCACGAGCGAAAGTGCGAGAAAAGAAACTGTTAGCATAGAACTTACGGTGACATCTAGCTAGCTCAAAGTTGATGAGATCTCGATGCCAATCTAGTAATGGCATTAAATTCATAAAGTCTGGATACCATAGCAAAGAGCTCACCGGAACAATTACCATGAAAGTATTTATAAAAGAGGCACAGAGAGGGAACCTTATGGCATAGCGAAGAGTTCACCAGAATAATTACCATGAAAGTATTTATAACAAAAGGCACAGATACGCAACCTTATGGCATAGCGAAGAGCTCACACGAACAATTACCATGAAAGTATTTATAAAAAAAAAAGGCACAGATAGGTTACCTTTTGGCATACTGTAAAAAATTCCCAGAAAATGAAGGTTCACAGAATAATTACGATGAAGTTTAAAGTATTTATAAATAAAAAAAAAAACCGGGCCAAATGATCACTGTATAATGTAATAAAAATTCTCCTCTCAGAAATGTTTGAAGAGTATATTGGGCTGAATGTAATAATAAATCAAAAGAACCGGGCCAAATGGATCACTGTATAATGTAATAAAAATACAAATGAAGGTTGAAGAGTATATTGGCGGAATGTAATAATAAATCAAAAGAACCGGGCCAAATGGATCACTGTATAATGTAATAAAAACACTCCTCTCAGAAATGAAGGTTGAAGAGTATATTGGCCGGAATTAATAATAAATCAAAAGAACCGGGCCAAATGGATCACTGTATAATGTAATAAAAATACCTCCTCTCAGAAATGAAGTTTGAAGAGTATATTGGCCGGAATGTAATAATAAATCAAAAGAACCGGGCCAAATGGATCACTGTATAATGTAATAAAAAATACCTCGTCCCAGAAATGAAGGTTGAAGAGTATATTGGCTGGAATGTAATAATAAATAAAAAATCAAAAGAATGGAATGGCCAAATGGATCACTGTATAATGTAATAAAAATACCTCCTCTCAGAAATGAAGTTTGAAGAGTATATTGGCCGGAATGTAATAATAAATCAAAAGAACCGGGCCAAATGGATCACTGTATAATGTAATAAAAATTCTCCTCCCAGAAATGAAGTTTGAAGACCTAATAATAAATCAAAAGAACCGGGCCAAATGGATCACTGTATAATGTAATAAAAATTCCTCCTCCTCAGAAATGAAGTTTGACGAGTATATTACCGGAATGTAATAATAAATCAAAAGAACCGGGCCAAATGGATCACTGTATAATGTAATAAAAATACCTCCTCTCAGAAATGAAGTTTGAAGAGTATATTGGCCGGAATGTAATAATAAATCAAAAGAACCGGGCCAAATGGATCACTGTATAATGTAATAAAAATACCTCCTCTCAGAAATGAAGTTTGAAGAGTATATTGGCCGGAATGTAATAATAAATCAAAAGAACCGGGCCAAATGGATCACTGTATAATGTAATAAAAAAAAATACCTCGTCTCAGAAATGAAGTTTGAAGAGTATATTGGCCGAAATGTAATAATAAATCAAAAAGAAATGGATCACAAATGGATCACTGTATAATGTAATAAAAAATTCCTCCTCTCAGAAATGAAGTTTGAAGAGTATATTGGCCGGAATGTAATAATAAATCAAAAGAACCGGGCCGAATGGATCACTGTATAATGTAATAAAAATTCCTCCTCTCAGAAATGAAGGTTGACGAGTATATTGGCCGGAATGTAATAATAAATCAAAAGAACCGGGCCAAATGGATCACTGTATAATGTAATAAAAATACCTCCTCTCAGAAATGAAGTTTGAAAGAGTATATTGGCCGAAATGTAATAATAAATCAAAAGAACCGGGCCAAATGGATCACTGTATAATGTAATAAAATTCCTCCTCTCAGAAATGAAGTTTGAAGAGTATATTATTGAAATGTAATAATAAATCAAAAGAACCGGGCCAAATCACTGTATAATGTAATAAAAAAATCCTCCTCTCAGAAATGAAGTTTGAAGAGTATATTGGCCGGAATGTAATAATAAATCAAAAGAACCGGGCCAAATGGATCACTGTATAATGTAATAAAAATTCCTCCTCTCAGAAATGAAGTTTGACGAGAGTATATTGGCTGGAATGTAATAATAAATCAAAAAAAACCGGGCCAAATGGATCACTGTATAATGTAATAAAAATTCCTCCTCTCAGAAATGAAGTTTGAAGAGTATATTGGCTGGAATGTAATAATAAATCAAAAGAACCGGGCCAAATGGATCACTGTATAATGTAATAAAAAATTCCTCCTCTCAGAAATGAAGTTTGAAGAATATTGGCCGGAATGTAATAATAAATCAAAAGAACCGGGCCAAATGGATCACTGTATAATGTAATAAAAATAAATCTCAGAAATGAAGTTTGAAAGAGTATATTGGCTGGAATGTAATAATAAATCAAAAGAACCGGAAATAATGGAAATCACTGAACCGGGCCGAATGGATCAATAAAAATAAAAATACCTCCTCTCAGAAATGAAGTTTGAAGAGTATATTGGCTGGAATGTAATAATAAATCAAAAGAACCGGAAATGGATCACTGTATAATAATAAAAATTCCTCCTCTCTCAGAAATGAAGTTTGAAGAGTAAAAATGTAATAATAAATCAAAAGAACCGGGCCAAATGGATCACTGTATAATGTAATAAAAATTCCTCGTCTCAGAAATGAAGGTTGAAGAGTATAAATGTAATAATAAATCAAAAGAACCGGGCCAAATGGATCACAAAAAATAAAAATAATCCTCGAAATGAAGTTTGAAGAGTATATTGGCAATGAAAAATGAAGGTTGTAATAAAAATTCCTCCTCTCAGAAATGAAGTTTGAAGAGTATATTGGCCGGAATGTAATAATAAATCAAAAGAACCGGGCCAAATGGATCACTGTAAATGTAATAAAAATTCCTCCTCTCAGAAATGAAGGTTGACGAGATATTGGCCGGAATGTATAATAAATCAAAAATGAACCGGGCCAAATGGATCACTGTATAATGTAATAAAAATTCTCCTCTCAGAAATGAAGTTTGAAGAGTATATTGGCCGGAATGTAATAATAAATCAAAAGAACCGGGCCAAATGGATCACTGTATAATGTAATAAAAATACCTCCTCTCAGAAATGAAGTTTGAAGAGTATATTGGCCGGAATGTAATAATAAATCAAAAGAACCGGGCCAAATGGATCACTGTATAATGTAATAAAAATACCTCGTCTCAGAAATGAAGTTTGAAAATATATTGGCTGGAATGTAATAATAAATCAAAAGAACCGGGCCAAATGGATCACTGTATAATGTAATAAAAATACCTCCTCTCAGAAATGAAGTTTGAAGAGTATATTGGCTGGAATGTAATAATAAATCAAAAGAAATCGGGCCAAATGGATCACTGTATAATGTAATAAAAATACCTCGTCTCAGAAAATGAAGTTTGAAGAGTATATTGGCTGGAATGTAATAATAAATCAAAAGAACCGGGCCAAATGGATCACTGTATAATGTAATAAAAATACCTCGTCTCAGAAATGAAGGTTGAAGAATGTATATTGAACCGCCGGAATGTAATAATAAATCAAAATGAACCGGAAATGGATCACTGTATAATGTAATAAAATCCTCCTCTCAAAATGAAGGTTGAAGAGTATATTGGCCGGAATGTAATAATAAATCAAAAGAACCGGGCCAAATGGATCACTGTATAATGTAATAAAAATACTCGTCTCAGAAATGAAGTTTGAAGAGTATATTGAAGGAATGTAATAATAAAATCAAAAGAACCGGGCCAAATGGATCACTGTATAATGTAATAAAAATACCTCGTCTCAGAAATGAAGTTTGAAGAGTATATTGGCCGGAATGTAATAATAAATAAATCAAAAGAACCGGGCCAAATGGATCACTGTATAATGTAATAA